CTATGACGCTGCTTGACCTGCTGTGTTCATCCAGCCCTGCACCTTGTTGTCTTAGAAAAGAACACATGTTGACTTCAGCATTTTCGTTTCCCTAGTTTTTCAGCTCGGGTTCTATGCTCACCTACAGCATTCTTGTTGCATACGAAGTTTGGGTCCATGTATCAACTTCATAATTTGATTATTGTTCCTAATCAGACTGTACCTCCCAAAAATTATTTAAGTGGTGGACCTTGTACAGTCGTAGGGCCAGATGAACTGTCCTGTTCTCACCTCAGAATATGCTAGCCACCAGGTTTGTCATTATGTCCAAAAACAGGTGTAAGAATTTTATTTTAAAAATCATTAGAAAAGTTCTGGTCACAATAATGTTATCAGAGTTCAAAGATTTATCAGATAGCATCATCTCAATTTCTTAATATTTTTAACCTTATCCTTTTTGCCACTTAGATATTTGCATTTATTTTCTTTGCATTTATTTATTTATAATTTTTTGTTTCCTTTTAATTCCAATCTTTTTAAATACCCCTTGTCAGCTGTTCTAGTCTATTTTGTTGTTTTAAATGTTCTCTGTTTCATGTGGTTTTCTTTTATAGTATTGGTCCTAGATTTATTATGTATCTCCATATGTATGTAGAATTGTTCATCTTTTATGTATTTGATAATTGTTTTTCTTTGCTGTTGACTTTTTCCTGTCATCACCTCCAGCTCTGTTTCCTTAGTTGAATTCAAAGTGTATCAATCTGGGAAGTAGTCTTGTACATACTATAAAAGCTCCTGTTCTTGGCAATAAGATTACTTTTACTCCTGCCTGTCTTTGGATAATTAAAACCAGATAGCATTGTGGTCCTATTATTCCTGTTGTATTATTTTTATTACTCTTCCTTTGGCTCATTTCCACACTCCTGTGATCCAAAACACATTTCCCAAGAGAAACATTTCCCTTTTTTGATTTCAGTTTTGAGCTATATTACATATGTTTAATGTTATAGTTAATATATTTTAGGGGTATAGATTATTGGTATTAGAAATCAAATTTTAAATGTAAAATTTGGATATTTAAAAATGAAAAGATATCTTTGTGTTTACATGATAATGTTAGGGTAATAAAAGTGAGAATCCTAAATTTGTAGGTGTTCTTACTGGGCTAAGGAACTGGAAACTAGGTATTCCTGTAAAAAAGATAAGTTATTAATATTTCCCAGAATTGAGGAAAACTTTGGAATTAGTTAATATGTCTTTTTATCTGGGAGTTGGCTGTGTGTGTCACATTGGGTGGCCCTTAGTGCAATTCTTTTTGTGTTTGAATTTATCTCTGGAATTCAGTTAGTGCATAGCCAGGAGGCAACAC